TTCTTATATGGGATGACGTCCCCTTGGAAATTTTCCCTGAAGTGACATATCTTAGCGACCCGTGGTATGATTTGTCTCCTGCCTTCTTGCCTCATAACCCTAAAAGGAGCGTAAGGGTATGTGCCCCTCAACCCAATCAGCACCAAGCGTGGAAAATCTCTGGACCTGATGATGAACTCATTGGTAAGGAACCACTCGAACATCTATTGGACCTGCTCCTCGGTCAAATTTTCGAAAAGTTGTACCCATCCCACAGCGTCCTCTGGCTGAGCAAACATATCTCGAATGTAGTTCATTCTTTTTGGATGGTGGAAGGCTATGTGATCATTCCACGTCCTTCGCGAAAACTCTTGATGGAATTGTCCCTTTTGGAGATGTTCCAATAGCCAGACCTGTAGCCGCAAGTTGCAACCCTCGAAGAACCTGAACCCCTTTTGACATCGCTCTAAAGCCTAGTACATGTCTGCAACGATCATAGGGATTATAGTGTATGTCTCCCACTCGATCCCGTCCATCAAAGTTTTGGTTACCATGGCCAGCCTAGTATAAATTCTATCCCCTTGGATCGGGAATACCAACATGCCCAAGAAATACATAATAAACACGAAGACCCTATGATGAATCCAGCCCAGGGAGGTGATAGAGAACTCATCGTTAAAGATACGGTAAGAGTTGATGTGACCGTATCTTTCATAAAGGAACCCAAAAGGTATGTAGGAGTCCTTTAGGCATTTAAAGTTGTCATTTTTCTTCAGCCCTATCTTCTGTAGGAAGCCCTTAGCAGTGTGATGTTTAGGTGATAACAGATTAGGGCTATCCCAAGGTAACCTGGCAAATCCTCCTATTTCCTCTAGAAGAGGAGTCATTTCTATGTTCCCAAAGCGAAACACAACCCTTTCCTTATCCCAAAAAAGAGTAGCAACCTTGATTAGCATCCTGTTTGGTTGAAGATCCAACAGATATGGCAAGTTTCCTAAGACTCTCTTCACATGGTTTTGATCACATGAAGGAAGATCCCTCCACCAAACTAGCAAAAGTGAGGGTATGCTACCGACCATACCAAATCTGGGGACTTCGTGCCTAATTTTCTGCAAAACAAAAGAGAGTTAGGCCCTTTCCCCCTCTAGGTTTGTCTACTTACATAGTAATGATTAGCATATTAGCACTTATTTCTAATCAAACATAATGTGAAGTAAGCAGAATTCATTTGACCAAAGTGAAACCCCTATAGACATGATTTCTATTAAAGCTGATTTTAACTCTTATATGCATGGTACCTAATTATTAAAAGCTGATTTAGATCCTATAGGCATAGCTTCTAAATGTGTGGAAATAAAGCAAACAGAACTTATTTAAACCAAAGCAGATCCTATAGGCATGTTATTTAACAAATACATTTGAATCAACTTGGACCCTATAAGCATGGTATCTACTCAATTTTACCCACAGTATATAACTACCCTCCCTTTTTACTAGTCATCCCACTATTTGTTTACAATATTTGTTACAGACCAGTGAATTGAATAAAAATACATAAGTAGAACAGAAATTAATCTATAGGGAGCCTGAGGTAGGACCAAATGATTTTCAAGCCTCCACAGTCTCAAATGTCAAAGTTCTATAGCCAATTTCATGTCTAGGTGTGTCAGAGTTCCCTAAGGACCTCAAGGATCCCGGGAAGTGCTCACACCTAGACCTTTCTTAAATAACAACTGATTATTGTGCAATGTGGAAGTGCCAACCCTGATATGCCAGAGTTCAAAGAGATATCAAGGGTCTCTAAGCAATACATGTACCAGAGGGGCGGGACCTAGTATTCTAGGAGTAAGTGAAAGTGCATAATGGTTTGAAAGAGTTTAAAAGAAAGGTCTTAGGACTGAAAAGAACTTCTGAACACCATTAGTGATAAAACAGTTTGAGGAATGTGTAAAGAAACAATTTTGCAATCAGAAAACAAGTCATAGAACAAACAGTTTTAGGGAGTACTTTGGCAAGCAGCCTTCACATAAGGGAAGAGGGATTGGGAACATAGAGAGTACACCTTAATGAAGCACACAAACAACATGATACATAGAGTTTTGAGGGGGTTCTATAGAACTAGTAGGTAGAATGCAGGTCATGCAACAAAGATCACAGCAGAAACATATTTAACCCATTCTAAGGAGAGTAATTAACTTAGCAGGAGTTAGGCAAAACAAGCAAAGACTTAGATGGGCATGCTAGGCAAGTATTGACAGGTGAAGGCATGCTAATTACACAAGGGCAGAGTCTAAGCATGCTAGATAAGTAGTAGTCAATCAAACAGGCTTAGTTTCATATGTAGACATGTTAAACAAGATAGCAAACAAGCAAGTAAAGTGGAAACATGCTAATACAAATTTGAATAGGCAGTATTAGGCATGCTGGGTAAGCAGTAAAAAGGGGCAAGAATGAACTCAAGCCATATGGACTAAAACAGTAAGTAAACACATAGGTTTTGATTCTTAAAATTAATCAAAAGCATACCTAGTTAAAGAAAGAAAACACAAGATGTGAGCGAGGTATTGTGCAATTTCCAGCCTTAGCTTGCAGCCGGCTAGATCAACAGAGATCACAAGTAGCAAAGAGAGTAGAGAGAGCCTTTTTAAGTGTAAAAGTGGTAGTCTTTGAACTATTGTTCATGTCCAGAAGTTAAAATAAGAGGGAATTTATATAGTAATCAAGAGTTAAACTAAATAAGGTAAGGGATCAACTATGTAGCAATTAGGGAAATTCATAGAATTAGTCACACACGTAAAATCAGTAAGTCTTCCCCTTAATCAAGGGATAATCAATAAATCATCACAAAAGTATTATGAAGGATAATTATTGGATATTTATATAATAAAAGAGGAGAAATAAATTGATTTGGAACCTTTAAAACTATAGAAAAATTATAAAAAATGCTTATGCATGCTTATAACTCCATATGTACTATTTTGAAAGTATATATATGTATTAAAAATATGTGAGGGCAAAATTAGGTATCAATAGCTGCCCCTCTTTACTCGGGAAGGATGAAAGAGTTTTCTAGTAAAGAAATGATGGCCAATTTTGACTGAATGAGATGTTTTGAAAGACAGAGGCCAGACTCTGGTCTTTGAGCTGCCTACATATCCCTAATTTTATAGGAATCAGACCACGTGTAGTTCTGGGTTCATTGACGGAATATATTGATGAAGTCATTACAAGAACGGACGCGAGATTTTGGAATGGATGCAAGAGTGGTTATGGTGAACGGATAAGTTTGAAAGAGTTTGGAGGAACTGGAGTGAGGTCGCTCCTACTAGGATAACGGTTGTTTTCTAGTCACCTGCAAATAAAGAGATGCTACAGACATGTATTTGTGCGAAAATTTAAACATGATGTAGATTCCCTTTGGACCATGAAAATTGTCTTCGGACGATTAAGGATGACGTCCTCGGACCATGATGTCCTGGGCCATGGTTTATTTAGTGAGGGATTCGTAGGCCATGAAATGACATTATCGGGCCATGAAGATGGTGCCTCCGAACCATAATGCCTTTGAATAATGATATGCAAATTTGAGAGATCCTCGGGCCATGGCATAGTGTCTTCCAGTTATGAGGATGATGCCTTTTAGCCTATGACGCCTTCGGATATATTGGCGATATTTTAGCCCATGAGATGCAGTAATATGATGTTAACAAGACAAGGCTTAGTCTTGTGAAATGAAGGGCGGAGCTTATCCCGATTGAAAAGCAAGTAGATAGTACTAGAATAGAGCAATATTTATGTAAAGGGGGGACAGTGCTTAGTCTCATGCAAACGTGGAGGCAAGGATTAGCCTCATGCAAATGTGCATGCAGGGATTAGAATCATGCAAATATAGAGGCAAGTATTAGCCTCATGCAAATATGGAGGAAGGTATTAGCCTCATACAGATATGGAGGCAGGGATTAGCCTCATGCAGATATGGAGGCAGGGATTAGCCTCATGCAGATATGGAGGCAAAGATTAGCCNAGGAGGTAAGGATTAGCCTCATGCAAATATGGAGGCAAGGATTAGCCTCAAGCAAATAAGGAGGCAAGGATTAGCCTTATGCAGATATGGAGGCAGGGACTAGCCTCATGCAAGTATGGAGGCAAGGATTAGCCTCATGCAAATATGGAGCCAAGGATTAGCCTCAATCATATAATGAGACAAGGATTAGCCTTATGCAGATATGGAGGCAGGGATTAGACTCATGCAAATATGGAGGCTAGGGTTAACCTCAAGCAGGTTGGAGGCAAGGATTAGCCTCATGCAAAATATGGAGGCAGGTATTAGCCTCATGCATGTAGTGGAGGTAGGGATTAGCCTCATGTGGGACAAGGCTTAGTCTCATGCAAAAGGCGGGTAGCACATACACTACAACAAAATAGGTCTTTAGAAGCAATAAAAAAACCTTTTAGCGGCAATAAATATTGCCGCTAAATGATTTACCAGCTATTCTTTTTTAACCGTGGTTGCTGGCATCGCTAAAGCCTTTAGCGGTCATCCGATGAAGTGCCGGTAAATCTAGGTTTTATTGCCGCTAAAGGTCCCGGGCTTTAATGGCTACAGTTTAGTGGCAATTAAATGGCTGCTAAATCCATTTCATAATAGGCTTATATTGTGCTTCAATGGTCATTATTTTTGGCCGATATATCTAATTATATTGCCGCTAAAAGTAGAATGCTTTAATGTCAAATATTTAGTGGCAATTCAATGGCTGCAAAATCTATTTCATAGTAGGCTTAATTTGCACTTTAATGTCTAATATTTTGGCCAGTAAATCAAACTATATTGCCGCGAAAAGTCACATTAAATTGAATTAAATTGCCACTAAAAGTCATAGGCTATAATGGCAATTGTGTAGCTGCAATTATAACAAATGCTAAATAAAATTAGTTCTCGATTAAAAATACCCTTTTAGAGGCAAATAAAAAAACAAACTATCTTTAAACTGCAAAAATGCTAATAAAATACGCTACTTAACTCATAAAAACATAATATATTTCATTCAATCTAGAAAAACAAAAGAAAGTATTAATCTTACTAATGTATCAACGACATGTAAGATAAAATTATATTGTTCAAACAAAATAACCAATGTTATTATCGCTAATTCTATATAATATTCATAATAACAAAAGAGTAGAAGCCCTCAAACAATTCTGCAAATCTTCCTCGTACTGAAATCTTTCACATCGTACTATTTAACCTGAAATAACAAAATAAGTAATGTGAAAAATGAATCTCTTTTTACTCATTTGTTATTTCTATCATTTAGATGATAGTCCTATGTAAAATACAATAACTCATACAAGCACATACATGTACACCAATTCTGGACAAATAGAGAGGCAAATGAATATATACATGTACACCAATTCTGGACAAATAGCGAGGCAAAGGAATATATACATGTAAACCAGATGTTGTGACATTTGGTATTCTCATCAATCATTTATGCAAAAGTTACAAGGTCGATGAGGCAATGCATGTGTTTGAGAAGATAGGAGGCAGTGAAAGTGATGGCATTCTTGTTAAGCCTGACCTTGTTCTCTACAATACATTGATTGATGGGCTTTGTAAGGTAGGGAGGCAAGAAGAAGGGTTTAAGTTGATGGTAAAGATGAGGCTGGAGAGTGGATATGAACTTAATACTGTTACTTATTGCTTGATAGATGGTTTCTGTAAAGCAAGCGAGATTGAGAAGGTCATACGAGCTTTTTGACCAGATGAAAAAAGGCAGGGTAGTGCCAAATGTGATTTCTCTAAATACTTTGCTTGATGGAATGTGCAAGCATGGGAAACCTGATCGCTACACCTACAACACTTTGATATCATATTTCAGCCAGAAGGAGCAATTTGCAACTGCCCATAGAGTTATGAAGAGGATGATTGATGATGGTTATTTTCCTAATGTTGTTACATATGGAGCACTAATGCATATTGTTTAGGTGGAAATGTTGACGAAGCTATGAAAATATTCCAGAATATGTGTTCTTCTACAAATGTGCCACCAAACACTGCCATATACAATACTTTGATCGACGCTCTCTGCAAGAGTGACAAAGTAGAAACTGGAATTTCTTTGTTGGGTGATATGAAGGACAAAGGGGATTGAGTATTGAAGGAATTGTTTTCCACAGGCCAGATTAAGCAAAAGTTAAACAATATTGGTAAACACATTCTCTTGACCTTCCTTGATCCAAAAACTAGTTGCTGCTAGACATACTCTAGAAATTTAAATTATTGGCTAAAACTAAGCATACATCAAGGGCAGCAAACTAATAATCCTATGCTACAGTCCATTAAGGTTTGCATTAATATATTTCTTACATAATGCTTTTCACTTATAGAAAGAAAAAATGAATAGAACAAAAAAGAGTTTATGTGAAAGCACAGAAAAGTACCACAAGACGACGGAGTATTTCTAACTACATTATGCATATTGGGTGATTCTGGTATTCGCTCATGGTCACGGTTGGTATCAACGACTTGATAAATATTAAGACGTAAAATTATTTTAGTTGTATGTATATTTAGTATGTACTAAAGTTTACAGAGTACAAGAAGTAACAGTATTTGTAACAGTGAACAAACAAGAAAAAGAAAACTACCAAATACATACCCACACACATATTTTATAACAAACCTTGAAAGTTACAAGAAGTGAAACTTTCCTCATGACTCTTAAGTCTATATATAGCTACTAATTGGAACAAGCATTTCTTAGCCTATATACGCCAAAAACTTTTGAAATTGAGTTACTTGTCCAGTTGAGACTCCATTGATATTTTGAGGCATAGGTAACTCATTTGGAGCAATTTTATTTTGTTATTCATTTACCTCTTTTAACTCTGTTATCTCGTGCTTTAGTTTTTGTACAACCTCATCAGACGAATCCTCTATAATAATATTTCCTAAGGAAGATCTACTGCCCCACAACATAGAAGGAGTTGGACGAAGTCCTAAACCACGAACATACCCACTTTTATTATTTCTAAGCACTTGGGAATACACATCTCCTTCCCAAGCAACACTGCGGAGAGGTTGGTCATTTGATCCGTCAGTATCCCCCAACCTTTCGTTCATCATGTCCTGATTAATTAAGGGCATAACATAGTTAACAATACATTAAATTTAATACACCAAAAATCCAATTTTCAATTCAGTTATTCTCTTTAAGTTATCTTTTTTTTAAATCTATTTCCTAGTTCAAGATATAAAAGAAAGAGAAGAAATCTTTTTTTTATAAGGAATAAAGAGAAGAAATCTTACAACTGCCTTTGCAGATTCCTCATCCAATAGTCTACCATCCTTACGTTTTTTGTGTGTCAGTATAAATATTTCTGCTCGTGTAGGCTCTATATCATTCTTGGCCTATTACAATAAATTTGATGTCAAATCTGTACGATAAAAGAGTTTTAAAATATTTTATTTTGTAATTATACATGTACCTGCTCATCTATTAAGGTGGCAATACTTTTGGATCCTCCTGTGTGAGGTATATTTTGTTTAACCCTATTATTTCTATTTGCCTGGGTACACATCTATCATTGCAACATAAAATAATCAAAACAATATAACAATTAGCAACTAATGAAAATAATCAAAAGACTATAATAATAAGCAACTAATTGTGCATTTTTAAAATTTAAAGTTTATACCTTAGCTTTATCAGAAAGCCAATAAGAAACAAGACCAGTCCATTGATCCCTTGGTATGCGACTTGCTGGTCTATTCTTCAGCAAAGCATCTTTGGTTTTATATTTTTCCAAATATTCACATTTTAAATCGGATTTGTAATCTTTTCATTTTTTTCCAATTGACTTTACGACATATGCTTCTCCACGTGTTGGGATAGAGAACTTTTTCTAAAACCAAAAGCAAACATTTAGCAATAACATATTTTTACAAGAATAACAGCAACAACAACAATAATAATAATAATAGCAATAATAACTATAACAACAACAACAACAACAACAACAACAACAACAATAACAATAATAATAATAATAATAATAATAATAATAATAATAATAATAATAATAATAATAATAATAATAATAATAATAATAACAACTCCATACCCTTACAAACTCTAGCAATTTCTTCTTTTCTTCTTTATCAAAACTTCGCCAATCATCTATGTGTAGAGGTGTTAGATCTGGAGTTCTTGCGATAATGCCTAGAAAGCTAGCAAGCTTTCGACCCTCTTTTCCGATGGCTTGGTTGCGATTATTAAATTGCACATCAATTTTCTTCCCTGGAGGTAATTTCCAAATATATTTTAATAATGTAGGCCCACGAACCTTCCTAGCTTCTGAATTGCCTAACATTAAAAACTATTGAATGTCATGAAATTCATATACAGAATATCCATTTTCATACCTAAATATTATACCCTTGAAATGGCATTTCTATTTCAATTTCCTTTAAAATAATGCAAACTAAAAGGAGCTGCATTGAGTAACTTCATTGAGTTTATAACAAACTTGTAATGATAAAGCAAAGAGTAATAATCTTTGTATTAAGAAACTGGAAGATTTAGTAACAAGTGTTACCTGATTCTTCATTCTCTTGAACTTCAGTGCCAGAAGAACTATACAATTCAGTAGATTGATTATCATGTGATTGGGTCTGAGAGTGGTTCTGACCATCCATCAATTGCTCAATATAAGGTCGTACACTTTCATAATCATGTTGTTCAATTACCAATCTTTTGCCACCTCTAGTCCGCATAGTTCCTTCGCCAAAATAAAGTAGTTAACTAACTACATTCAGTTGTACTAGTACCAGATTAACTCCAATGGATCTACCGGCACATAAGCATCATCCACATCTCAAGTTATAAAAAAATATATAAACCACAATTTGTGCACAAAAAATATACAAAAACAAAGCCTTAATGCAAAGATAGTCCTCGAGTTAAGAGCTATTTGTGCACCAGAAAATATATATTATTATCCAGTGGTAGAAACACCTTAGCATCTCATAATCCAAGAGCTATAGCAGCAAAAGAAGTAACAATAAGCACAGAAAACTCACACAAATATTGGTTAATCCACCAATATAAGAATAGATAATCTATAGCTTACTAACATGCATGTTCTGTGGAATGTGACTTAAATTAAAAACAAAAAAAAATATCATATTCAATTCACTGGAAACAAATATCAAATACCTAAAAGTACTCTAATAACACCAGCAAAAAATATTTAATAACTACCATCTATCTTATTCTCAATCACTTTCATTTTCAATGTATGTTCCTCCATCAACATGAGCTTCACCTTCATTTGGATAATTTCGAGAATGTATATTCATATCAATTACTATCCCATCGACACCGCTTCTTACCTAATCATGACATTCATATTCTGAATCAATAGTATTTTCTAAGAGCGTCGAGCCAGTGGCATCGCTCTGCATTGATGATTCAAACTTTATACTATTTTCCTCTCCCATATCAAAAATATCTCGAGGTTTAATTAACCTAGGGACAAACCATTCATGATCCTTAGGATCTTGTACAAATATTACTTGTTGAGCTTGTTCTGCAAAGACAAAAGGCTCATGACTTTCTCGATCGCCAGAGTCTATTAGGTGTGAGAAGTTTACTAGTGTAAAACATAAGTCATCCTCCTTAACTCATATACCTTTGGTTACATCAACCCAATCGCACTTAAACAAGACAACCTTAAATTCTTCATAGTAGTTTAACTCCACAATATCATTTAATCTCCCATAATAGTTGATATTTACAGATTTTGGAGCTTTGTCACTTGTACTTGCATAACTTTTAGTTTTTGGAACGACCATAACACCACTATTTTGTGTCTCCATGAACTCTTTACTTTGTTTCATTCGAAATCGATACCCATTAATTACATTGAACGCCTTGAATCTTCTTGCAATGCAACTTGGACCTTTCGCAAGGACCTTAAATACATAACTGCATATTGATATAAGTACACGCACAATAATTTAAAATTGCTAATGACATAATCTAACTACTCACTTTTTCCTTGAACCACTCATGAAATGTATCAAAATGCAACCGATCGAGTTGATGTTGTGTAAGACGACGCTTACGATGTAATCTCTTGATTTCAGCAATATGTTCTGTATTTATGTAAGTCACATATATTAATTTTGCTATCAAATAAGGTAATATATAAATATTTAATTAATAATAGATTACCACTCACTTTTTGTAATTCTCAACCACATCTGATTCACAATTGAAAAGCACATGTCGATGTGCTTGCAACCATGTTTTCTCATCCAACTCAAATACATCTACTTGACCATACAGCTCCCTAACAGTAGGGAAAAGACATCCTTCTCTATTAGTCTCATGCTCAATCTCAACATCACTTTTTTTTTACCAATAAGACCGTAAATGTCTACCCTCCAAATATCGCGAGCAAAATTCATGCACTCATTTGCGATATATGCTTCTGCTATTGAACCTTCTGGGTTTGCACGATTACAAACATATGATTTTAAGTACACAAGTATCTGTAGAATAAAGTAATTTATTAATCTAATATTTTTATAGTTAATAAAAGCTTAAGATATACAATAATAATTTAATGATATTCTTCATGCCTCTCAATTGGGTACATCTAATGATAATGCACTGGCCTCACAAGTTTAGCCTCAGTTGTCAAGTGAATGACCAAGTGTACCATAATAGTAAAGAATGACGGGAGGAAGAGTTTTTTCATATTAGACAATGTTACTGCAATTTTTTCTTCAAGTAACTCTAACTCTTCTATTTTAAGTACTTTGCTACAAAGAACCCGAAAAAATGTGCATAGTTCAATTAAAACAGAACTGACTCTTTTATATGTTGACCTTCGCAATGCAAAAGGAAGAAATTCTTGCATTATAACATGGCAATCATGAGTTTTTAGCCCCGATATTTTTCGTTTGCGAATGCAACATGAGATATTAGACGCATGGCCATGTGGAAACTTGGCGTTTTGCAGTACTTCATAAAATAACTCTTTTTCTGTTGGAGACATTGTGAAAAAGTAGCATGAAGGTATGTCCTCCCACTAGCTCGAGTTTGAGGCCATAAGCTTGGTCTTATTTTCATCTCCTTCAAGTCTAATCGAGCTTCTACGTTATCTTTTGACTTTTTACCAAGACCCAATAATGTATAAATTAAGTTATCACACACATTCTTTTCTATGTGCATCACATCAAGATTATGATGCATCAAGTTATACTCCCAATAAGGAAGATTGAAAAAATTACTTCTCTTTTTTCATGTGTTTTTCATAACCCCGCCTACATCTTCACTTGATTGACCGAGAGTGAACTTTATATCTCTAACTTGATTTAGAACTAGTGATCCAGATACTGAATAAGGTGCAGGTCTTAATTCTTTAGTCCCATCAAACGACTTTGCATCATTTCAATATTTGTGCCCAGGCTTCAAGAAACGTCGATGGCCCATATAACAAAAAAAAAATTCCATGTTTGAGTCTTCTAGATTCAGTGTTTATGTTACAAGAACGGCATGCAAATTTACTATAAGTGCACCATCCAAAGAGATTACCATATGCTGAAAAATCATTTATAGTCCACATGAGAGCTGCTCGCATTTTAAATGTCTCCTTAGCAAAGGCATCATATATTTCTACCCTGACATCCCATAATTCAATTAACTCTTCTATTAAAGGTTCCAGAAAGACATCAATGTTATTGCCGGGCCATTTTGGTCCAGGAATAAGTAATGACAAAATAAAAAACTCTTCTTTCATGCACATCCAAGGTGGGAAATTATATGGCATTATAATCACTGGCTATGTACTATGAACAGTTCGCATTGTACCAAATGGATTAAATCCATCAGAAGCTAATCCTAGATGAATATTACGGGCATCTCTAGCGAATTCTGGATATTTATTATCGAAACTTTTCCAAGCTTCAGAATCTACAGGATGTCGTAAAACTCCATCTTTGTTGCGTTCTTCATGATGCCACCGCATAAGCTTAGAAGTTTCTGAAGACATAAATAATCTTTGTAACCTTGGTTTTAAAGGAAAATACCTTAGAACTTTGGCTGGGATTTTTCTATCAATTTTTTTCGATCTAGAAGCCTCACAAATTAAGCATTTATTAACATCCTTACTGGCAAATTTATTCCTAAAAAGTATGCAATCATTGGGACAAACATGAATTTTTTTGTACTTTAAGCCCAGTACTTCAAGTATCTTTTTAGTCTCATAGAAAGAAGGAGGCTACTTTTCACCCTCAGGCAGAGCATCTTTTAATAGTCCAAGCAAAGCATTAAAAGATTCATTTGTCCATTTGAACGACCATTTCATATTGTAGAGATGCAACAGAAATGACAGTTTATTAAACTTCTTGCATCCAGGATATAGTTCTTCATTTGAATCCTTCAAGAGTTGTTCAAACTTATTCACCTCTAGATGAGATTGATTTATAGATGGATTAGTATTATTTTCTTCTGAGTTTGGCTCCATCTCACCCCTTTCACTAATATCACTATCCATAGACTGGGTAAAGCCTCCAGAAACATCATGTATCATTCCTCTCATATCATCACCCCTTGTAGTTAATTGTCTGTAATTATTTACATGAGTACTATTTGATTCATTCAGAGACTCCCCATGACAAAATAAAGTATCATGTGATGGCATAACACCATTAACCACAAGATGATCATATGCAGTTGCCCGATTTATTTGATAGTATAGCACACATTGTGAACAAGGACATGAAATTGTTTCTCTTTCACGAAAGGCGTAGTTTAGAAAATTCTCTACTCCATCCAAATATTCTTTACTGACTCTATCATAATACATCCATTTCTTACTTCTAGGCTTGTCCATGACTGTTCAATGATTTATTTTTCTTTTCTGCAATTACAATAATAGCTAAAAATAATTTAGTACAAAGAGAAAATAACCTAAATGGTAGTTCTAGAAAAATGTAGTTATAGATGAGATATTAACATGATTATATAGCTCAAAGAAGTCATTTCAATAATAAAATTAAGGATTGGGAACAAATTAAAAACAGTAAGAAATGCACATTAAACTATTATTTGGTATTAGAATACCAGTTTCTAGTTGTTTTTTTTTTTTGTATTCTTAATGTGCATATTCAGCTGGCTCAAAAACGACTTCACAGATGTATAATCATTAAGAAGCACCTAAGACGACTGCTCGCAAACTATAACTAAAATTCATTATAATGCAATTTTGCTCAATGAATCAACACCAATTAAACACCTAATAAGCCGCATTACAAAACGAATTCATGAAAACTAAATAACACTATCAAACTGTGGAAAACCTAACTACCCAATACTGTTTTTTAAAGAATCTTTAATCGCCACATGAATTCCATGGAATAAAATTTCAGATTTTTTTCACCATTAAATTTCACTATTGACACATCAGAATGATAAAAAAGTGTTCAACCTGAAGTTTAATTTGATATTTGAATTTTTGAGAAGTTAATATATATAAAATAATTGGGAGGGAGAAGTAGCACCATAGAATCCAGAGATATAGCACAAAAATAAATATCTCAGAAAGCAAAAAAGTGCAAATCAAATTAAAGTTATAATTATCAATAGAAAAAATTTCATCCTTCACCTCAAGAACATGAATCAATCTGAGAATATCTTAAAAGATAGATATAGAGATAGAGGTGTATAAAGAGAAATTAAGAGAAAGATATAAAAGTATAGAAAAATAGATAGAAACCATACCATTCAATTGGCGAAAATTTTGGTTGCTAGAGGCGAAGGTTTTCTTACACCAGGAAAATTGTAAAAGCTTTTTTAAGAATGAGACCTAATTCTTAGAGGCGTAGGTTTTCCTTTTTTGGGCAAATCAGAGAAGTGATATAATATTTAGGCGGCAGAAGATTTAGAGGGGAAAAAAATTGAAGGGAAAAGAAAAGGTAAAAATAAAAGCTTAGCAGACTAATTCTCTTGAATCACCACAAAAATATACTTTTTGCTGACAAATATTTATTAGCCGCTAATGTTTTTCCTTCGCTAAATAATTTAGCAGCAATTAAGTTATTGCCATTAAATAATTGCCGCTAAAGACCTTTTTTGTTGTAGTGATAAGAGTAGTATATTTCTTAGCTGGAGATATATTCAGTGTCTGATGGCTGGATTGATAGTGAATTTGCTTTGTGTATGCATGCTTGTGAATGCTATCGCTACGTCAAATGTGTCTGCGTTCAAAAAAAATTGTAAGTTTTGTGAGGGGGAGGTTGGTTCGTGCTTCTGTCCGTTGGCCTTGCTTTGCTCCATTCTGGAGGCCCTTTCCAGTCTCCCTGGGTAACACCTGACTGTTACGAAAATAGAGTTTTTGAAAATATGCAATTATTGATAAAAATATAGTTATTTTAGAAACATATTGATATATCAAGTCATTTTAGATGAACTAGTGACTGTAACACGTTCCAGAGACATTGCAGCTTCTCGTGTTAGAATTTTGAGGGTCCTCCTCAAAATTTTGTCCCAGTTTGGTAGATGATCCTTCAGGCGTTTGCGAATGACGAGACATGTTGAACCTTCTTCAGAATTTTGAGAAAGATTCTCAAAATTCTGCCCCAATTTCTTAACCACTTTCTGACTTTTTAACATGTGATGGTGTCGGCTAGACTTACTCTAGAATTTTGAGGATCCTCCTCAAAATTCTGCCCCAGTTTATGATCTTGGAGGGAATGGAAATTTTATTATGATATGACCGAACCCACAGGGTTTCCTACGTATCCCCTCTTAAATAGGAATCAGGTAAAGCATAGTTCAAATACATCAGATGAGGAAATATAAATAGTTTAAGCATAGTATCTCTTGACTGTGTCTGAATTGATTGGTTTTGGCCAAATTTCTCTGTCCATTTCTGCAAGTATGAGTGCTCCTCTTGTCAGTACCTTGTGAACCATGTAAGGACCTTGCCAGTTGGGAGAGTATTTCCCTTTGGCTTCATCTTGATGTGGGAAGATCTTCTTCAGTACCAACTGTCCTAGTGCAAATTGTCTTGGTTTGACCCTTTTGTTGAAAGCTCTAGATATTCTATTCTAATAAAGCTGACAGTGGCATACTGCATCCATCCTTTTCCCATCTATAAGGGCCAATTGTTCATAGCGGCACCTTATCCATTCTGCATCACTAAGTTCAGCTTCATGTATGATTTTTAAAGAAGGAATCTCTACCTCGAGATAGCTTCGGTACCATAAACCAGCATGTAAGGAGTTGCCCCGGTTGATGTGCAAACTGTAGTGCGGTATCCCAACAAAGCGAAAGGTAGCTTCTCGTGCAATTGTTTGTGGTTTTCTACCATCTTCCTTAGTATCTTCCTGATGTTTTTGTTGGCGGCTTCTATAGCTCCATTCATCTGAGGTCTATAGGATGTGGAATTCTTGTGCTTGATTCTGAAAGTTTCACACATGGCTTTCATCAGATCACTGTTGAAGTTGGCTGCATTATCAATGACAATAGACCCGGGAACTCCGAACCAGCAAACAATACGATCTTTGACAAAGTCTGTGACAACTTTCTTGGTTACGGCTTTGTAAGATGCAGTCTCTACCCATTTTATGAAGTAATCGATGGCTATTAGAATGAACCTTTGCCCGTTTAAAGTGGAGGGCTCGATCGGGCTGATGACATCCATTCTAGGTGGCGAATGGCGAATGGCCAAGGTGAGATTGTTTTATTGAGCTCATTAGGTGGCACTTTTATCATATCAGCATGCACATAACATTGGTAGCATTTTCAGACATACTGGACACAATCTGTCTCCATAGTCATCCAAAAGTAACCGGCCCTAAGTATCTTCTTAGCCAAGACAAAACCATTTATGTGAGGGCCACAAGTCCTAGCATGTACGTCCTCAAGTAATTTAGAAGCCTATTTTGCATCGACATATCTTAGCAATCCCAAATCGGGAGTTCTCCTGTACAAATTTTCTCCACTGTGGAAGAAGTGATTGGATAATCTCCGAAGTGTGCATTTCTGAGTGTGGTTCGCATGCTCTGGATATTCCCCTTTCGCCAAATACTCCTTGATATCATGGAACCAAGGTTTTCCATTTGTTTTTTCTTCAACATGGGAACAATATGCCAGCTGATTATGAATTTTCACCGGAATAGGATCAATATAATTCTTATCTCGATGTTGTATCATGGATGATAAAGTGGCCAACGCATCGGCAAACTCATTCTGAATTCTGGGCACATGTCGGAACTCTATCTTTGTGAACCTTTTTCTCAATTCCTACACATGGTGCAGATATGGCAATATCCGTGAATTTTTCGTGGCCCATTCTCTTTGTACCTGGTGCACGAGCAAATCTGAATCACCGATTACCAGTAGCTCCTGAATATTCATGTCAATTGTCATGTTGAGTACTAGTATACAGGCTTCATATTCTGCCATGTTGTTGGTGCAGGGAAATCTAAGTTTAGCAGATACCGGATAATGTTGACCTGTTTTTGATACAAAAAATGCTCCAATGCCTACCCCATTGAAATTTGCAGCTCCGTCAAAGAACATCCTCTAATTGTCGTACGCTTTGGTAATGTCCTCTCCTACGAATGATACCTCTTCATCAGGAAAATACATTTTCAAGGGTTCGTATTCTCCTCCCACTGGATTTTCAGCAAGATGATCTGCCAATGCTTGCCCTTTGACCGCCTTTTGAGTTACGTAGATGATATCAAACTCACTCAACAGTATCTGCCACTTGGCTAGCTTCCCAGTTGACATGGGTTTCTGGAATATGTACTTCAAAGGGTCTATCCTAGATATGAGGTATGTAGTATAGGCAGAGAAGTAATGCCTCAACTTCTGGGCCATCCAGGTCAAAGCACAGCAAGTGCGCTCTAGCAGAGAGTACCGTGCTTCGTAAGGTGTGAATTTCGTACTCAAGTAATATATGGCATGCTTTTTTCTTCTTATCTCGTCATGTTGTCCTAGAACGCATCCGAAGGCTCCATCCAACACAGATAGATAGAGCAGCAAAGGCCACCCCGGCTCTGGCAGGACCAAAACTGATGGTGTGGATAAGTACTCCTTGATCTTGTCAAAGGCCTTCTGACAATCCTCGATCCATCTTATCTCGGTATCTTTCCTCAGCATCTTAAAAATAGGTTCACATATAATGGTGGACTATGCTATGAAGCAACTGATATAGTTGAGGCGTCTTAGGAAGCTCATCACATCCTTTATTCTCCTCAGTGGTGGCAATTCCTGAATAGCGTTGACTTTAGATGGATCTACCTCGATCCATCAATGACTGATAATGAATCCCAGTAACTTCCATGCAAGAACCCTAAATACACATTTTGTGGGATTCAGCTTCAAGTTGTACCTCCTTAGCCTGTCAAAGAACTTTCTCAAGTCTGATATGTGATCTGTGGCCCTCTTAGATTTGATAATGACGACGTCCACATACACATCTATTTCTTTGTGTATCATATCAAGGAAGATAGTTGGCATGACTCTCATGTAGGTAGCCCCAACATTCTTTAGACCGAATGGCATCATCTTGTAAGAGTATACCCCCCATGGTGTAATGAAAATAGTTTTCTCCGCGTATTCTTTGTCCATCCAGATCAGGTTATAACCCGCGAAGTAATTTACGAAGGATTGGAGTTCATGCTTGGTGCATTTCCAATCAGGATGTGTATATTCGGCAGTGGGAAGTCTTCCTTGGGACTAGCTCTGTTTAAATCCCGATAGTCAACACATACTCTGACTTTCCCATCTTTCGTCGGAACTGGCACAATGTTGGCTAACCAAGTTGGGTACTCAACAACCCTGAGAACTTTGGCTTTGATCTGCTTAGTAACTTCCTTCTTGATCTTCAGGCTCATATCTGGTTTGAATTTTCTGAGTTTCTGCTTCACTGGTGGACACATGGGATTAGTAGGCAACTTGTGAGCCACTATGGACGTGCTCAAACCGGTCATGTCATCATATGACCATGCAAAAATGTCCTCATATTCCTTTAGAAAACGGATGTATTCTTCTTTCTTGGTTGGTGATAAGCGAATGCTGATGCGAGTCTCCTTGATGGTCTCGACGTACCCCAAATTTACTGTTTCGATTTCGTCCAGGTTGGACTTAGGCTTGTTTTCAAAGTTTTCAACTTCCATGACAACTCTCTCAGGTATCTCATCTTCTTCATCTGAATCACTATTCTCATGTTGCGTGGCCTCATTTCATGTCACAGTCACCGGTTCATCAGGAAAAGTAACAATAACGTTGTAAAAAGAAAAATACGAAAGATAATAATAAATAATAAAGAGCAATACATTTGATTAATACATAAAACATCCAAACGAGTACGGCTTGATGAATCAAGCATTTATTTTGAAACAAGTGAATCTTAAAACAAATTACTGAAAATCTTAAATGCCTAGAATGGCTATAGGAATAAAATCTACCAAGCTACCAAGGGACTCGGCAGGCCCGGGATGGTGTGGCGGTCCAGTTACTCAGAACAGCTCCCTTCTCCACTGCCTAAATAGTGAGGCCTTCTTCCTTCTTCTCCTCAATTATTGCACTGCAGTCCATGTTTTCATCCTCCAAGAAAAGATTCCTCAGCGCCGCTAACTCTTCTCCTGCAGTTCCCTATATTGTGTCAGCTTGGTGAAAAGTCTAATCCAGATGCGAGACTGGTTTCTTGAGAGGATAATAAGGTCTGTGCCATAGAGGCGACCAATCATTATACTCTTGCCATGTGTACTGATATCCGAGCCCATAGGTAGTACCATGACCCTTTAGCTGTATCGGTTTAGCGATACCCTGGAGATTCTTTCCAAGCCCTTTGTCGGGTTCATACCCAGACCATGCCACTATGCTCTCTATTTTGTTGCTTCACCATTTGTCTTTCTCAATGGCGTTGATGCGTTCAATGTGATGATAGGTTTCCCTTCCTAGCCTTCTTCAGTTTCCGAT